CGCCGCGTTCGCTGGCACCCAGGCGCCGGGCGGGGCCGGACAGGGCGCCCCGGGGCGGAGAGCTACCTGGCGAGCCCCTTTCGGGAGGCGGGCGAGCTCGGGGTGGCGTCCCGGAACAGCCGCGGCGACGGCGCGGAGGACCCGCCTCCCTGCTCGGCGGCGGCGCCCTTCGTCGGGTAGTTCCCCCTCCTCCTCGTCCTAGTCGTCGTCGTCGTCGTCCCCCTCCTCCTCGGCGGCCTCGGTTCTCCTGCGATCGCTGCGTCCGCTGCGTCCGAGCGCCGCTCCTGCAGCTTCGCAGCCGCTCGCCGGGTTGGCCACCAGCCTCCGGCCGCCCACTCGCCGCGGCACCGGGCGTTAGGGCCCGCCCCGGGGAGGGCGCTGCTGGGAAGCTGGAGCCCGGACGGATCCGGCCGCGCCGCGCTCCGGGACCTCGGTCCTCTCCACGTGTGGCGCGGGGCCAGGGCCCCCACCCCAGGCGACCTGGGGTCTGAAGAACTCTGGGGCGCGCGCGACTACCGGTGGCGCAAAAAGTCTGTCACTAATACTCAGGTGCCAGAGGCAGCCGCGAGCCTCGTGCGGCGTCCCCGCTGCCACGGCGCCCCCCTCCGGTCCCTCCGGGGCGCGCTCGGTAGCGCGGATTGGGACAGCGCGGTGCTGGGAGCCCTGCTAGCGCCCTGCAGCTCAGGCCTAAACTGGAAGGTGGTTTATGAGTGACCAAGGCACTAAATTTAGAAGTGGCCGGCTAAATTTATCGGGTTGGCCTTCGGTACTGTTCATTTTAAAATTTCCAATATCCTGTGCAGTTATAGTTATTGATTAACTCCAAATGCTGAATGATTTTAGCATTCACATTTAGGATCTTAAATTTCCCTCTAGTGGCACCTGTACTTAAGATAAAAGATGGGCAGCAAATTATCACCCCCAGGATGAAACAAGCAAATTAAGTGACTTATTTTGTTATAAAGGTTGAACAACAAAGAAATGTCTGGATTTTTAAGGAGCAATAAAAAAAAAAAAAAGGACACACTTACTTTGGGAGCAAAGCCAGATGTGCAAATTCCTAGAGAACTCCTCTGTCAAAACTAAGGAAAATCTAGTGCAGACTGCAGAAAATAAGGTATAGGAATAGTGTTTCCACTGCCCACACCAAGATTAACGGATCACAGGGAAATGGAAAAGACATCTCACCTGGTGACTAGGTTTATACAAAGGAACTTAAGAGGGTAGGGACGCACTCACACCACAGCAGTGTAGCAGTCGATTCCGAACAATAATGCTTTCCATCTTGTGAGTTTATTTTACCCCTAAACTGTTGATGCCTGAAGAAACCCACATTACAGACCCTAGCAGACTGCCTGCCCTCACGTTCTTTAGCATTATTGTCACGGATGCTAGGTTCGCTTTAGAGTAAATGATGTGATCAGATGTTTTAAGGCCATTTCTTGTTACGCTTTCTTATATGTGTATCTCGGGTCTCCATCTTTACGAGTGTGTAGTCCAGAGGAAACGAGTTACCCACTGGCAACAAAGGATAAAATGGGATTAATAGAGTACACCATCCATCAGAAGAAATTCCAAATGGATGAGTTTAAATATAAAAATGAAATTATAGTACTTAATAAGTCTATGGGGGGGCCAAGGAGATGGCTCAGTAGAAAAAGCACTTCCTTGTCAAGTGCAAGGGTCTGAGTTCAATCCCCGATTCCACTAAAAAAAAAAGTCTATGGGCAATTTTTTTTTCAACTTAGGGATGAGGAAAATTTTCAGGACTGAGACTCAAAAAGGAAAGCAGATTTACAAATTTGACACTGTAAAAATATGAAGTCTCCAGGCAGAAGTCACCATACATGAACTAAAGGACAAATGAGACGTCAGTTGCAACTGGTGTCACAGCTCATGAGTTGCTAAAAGCAGAAATAAAGATCAAAAAGCCCATTGAAAACAATCCAGAGGAGGCCAGAGATAATTTATTTACATGGAAAAACAGGTGGCTCTTACCACACACAAAGAAATGCAACCTTATTCATTACGAGATAGACACAAATTTAAATCACACTACTGTGCCTCTTTCCACTGGGTAGGGACAAATCTAATGGTTTGACAACATACTCTGTGAGACCGGATGTAAGGAGGAAGTATTATTTGATTTATGGTAAAATAAAAAATGATAAGACACATTTTGAGGGAAATTTGTTAA